TGTAATTTAGATGATATATGTCAATACGATCAATTAATAAAAAGAACTAATAATGTCAAGTACTTGGGTATTATAACAAATGAAATGTTAACTTGGAAAGATCATATAGTGTACATTACAAACAAAATTCGTGAACTAATATACAAATTCTACGAATTAAGAAATATATTCACTTTTAAAATGTTACAAATAATTTATCAGTCTCTTGTAGAATCGATAATGTGCCATAGTTTAGTCAAAGTTTGTTTAGTCCTCTGGGGATGTGCTGGAAAAACTGTCTTGGAAAAATTAGAAATTGCGCAGAAAGCCATTCTTAAAATTAAACTTTTTTTTAAAAAAAAGGTATCCAACAATTCTAGTATTCAAAGATAGTCAAACCCTCAACCCCAAACAACTTTACGTTAAAGCGATAATCAGATTTATGCTACAAAATCCAAACTATTGGGAAACCATAATAAATCATGGTAAAAATACTAGAGGCGAAGCCAAAAACAACATTTCCCCTTCCTATGCAACCCCAGACATTCTATATGCCAGAACCACATCTATTATGCAGGACCTAAACTATTTAATATGCTACCAAAAGGGTTTAGAGATAAACCCTTCTACAAAATTAAAAATGAGATTAATAATTGGATAATGGATAAATACATCACTATTTCATCACTTGTATAAGGTTTTACCCTCTATCATTTCATTCAGCAGAATTTACACCACCCCTTCCAAAGTGTTTCATGACTAGTTGTGAATGAACACTCGAATATCATATAGAATTATAAATGTATATAAGGCGCACACACAGTATTCTTATACCATAGTGCGTCGCAAACTTTTGTTAGCAAAAAAAAGGTAAATTAATTAATTAGTTTTTGTATGATTTATTCAATAAGTATCTGTCTGATTGATGACAACTATTGTAAATGATTTGTAATATTTGCTGATGAATAAATTATATTGAATTAACTAAGAGAAGAACTCAAAAAAGTCATTAATAACCGATGAGATCAAGAGATCCAGGAGCCCGGAATAAATGAACACTCTGGTTGGTAAATGCAGAAGTATCTATGGAGAAAACGGAGAAACATCATTCCACCATTGTATGCGATAAAACTTTGATAAGGAATTCAGAAAAGAAAAGTCGCCCAAATGAATAACTAGATAAGTATGGGTATCACGAAGACGAGATTCATTAATCCGTGGGTAGCAGAAGTAACGCAACGACGTACTAGGGATCACGTCAGTTCCCTGGAAGTTCAGACGATTGATGGTGCACACACGCAAAGGTTTCTTTCACTATTGCATGCATATAATTTAAATCAAATAATTAATGAACCAACTAGAATTGGGTGTGGCAATGCAACTCTTATAGATCTTATTTTATGCTCCAACACAGATTTTTTATTGAACGGTGGTGTGGACTCCTCGCTTGATTTATCTGATCATTTGCTTATTAAATGTAAACTTAAACTGGACGTGTCCAGGCCTAAACCGTTTCTTAAGACTTACAGGGACTTTAAATTTTTTGATCGACAATTATTTTATAGTGACTTACTTGGTATGCCCTTTGAAAATATTCTTTATATTGATGATATCAATGAAAAGTTGGCACTGTTTAATACACTTATTTCAAGTCTGTATGATGTTCATGCGCCGGTTAGAACTGCTCGAATTACAAAAAAGAAAGCTCCCTGGATCACTCAAAAACATTAAGCATCTCATGCATTTACGAAAGAAGGCATTGTCTAAATACAAAAAGAACAACAGTTTGCAGAACTGGGAATCCTACAGACAACTAAGAAATCTCGTTACCACATCTATTCAAAATGAAAAAAAAAATTATCTTAATAATGGTTTACGTATAAATAATTCAAAGAATAACTGGAAACTTTTAAGGGAACTTGATGTATATTCAAAAAGCTCCACTTTTGTTCCTGAAAATTTAGGTACGGCGGATGATATAAATCAATATTTTATCAACGCGGCTGGATCTTCTGTTCCAGATCCGGCTACGATTAACTTCTACCTGCAAAACAGGAAACATGGTGTTGATGTGTTTGAATTTAAATTGGCAACCACTGAGGAGGTGCAATCTGCTCTTTTTGGTATAAAAACAGGGGCCATTGGAACTGATGGTATTGGTTTGTCTATGCTATTGTACTGCTGTCCTCATATTATCCTATATATTGTTCATTTGGTCAATGTCTGCATCGAAACTAACACTTTTCCGGCTTCGTGGAAGAGTTCATTTCTGATTCCGATTCCAAAAGTTTCATCCCCAGGTGAGCTAAAGGACCTAAGACCCATAAGTATATTGCCAACGCTGTCAAAGGTAATTGAAAGGATATTGGAACGTCAAATTCGAGAACATGCTGAGCGAAGTGGGATCTTTCATCCGGAACAATCTGGCTTCCGTAGCAACCACAGCTGCGCCACTGCGTTGTTGAGGGTCACAGATGATATTGGCGGCATCGGATCGAGGTGAGTTGACAGCGTTGGTACTTCTTGATTACTCGAAGGCTTTTGACAGATTGAGTCATGGAATGCTTCTAGCTATTCTTGGCTACCTTGGTTTCGGATATGATGCTTGTCGGCTTCTTGATAGTTACCTTTCAGGTAGAACACAATCAGTTAAACTATATGGTATGGTTTCTGAGAATTTGAATATAACCGCGGGCGTTCCTCAGGGATCTATTCTAGGACCACTACTATTCACGTTATATACATCCCAAATGGCTGCTAAACTAAAACATGTTTCTGTCCACTATTATGCTGATGACACCCAGGTTTATATATGTTTTCGCCCAGAGGATATTTTGGAGGCCAATGCCAAATTAACAAATGACCTCAATGTTCTTGAAAGTGTTTCTTTAAATCATTGTCTGGAGCTGAATCCTAAAAAATGTCAAGCTCTTCTATTTGGCCGTGCACAGTGTAGGATTAGGAATCAGGATTTACTGCGTGTTGGTATTAGTAACGAAATACTTAAATGTTCCACTAGTGCGAGAAATTTGGGGTTGCAGCTTGATGTAGAACTAAGATTTTCAGAGCACGTTAATCTTTGCATCAAGAAGGCGTTTACCAACCTGAAATTAATATTCAATCAAAGACAATTGTTGAATACTGAATTGAAAAAAACTCTATGTGATAGCTTAGTACTATCGCAGTTTAATTTTTGCGACATTTTATATGGTCCCTGTCTGTTGGAAAGGGACGTGAGACGAATACAACTTATACAAAATTGCTGTGTACGATTGGTGGGAGGTATTAGGCGTTATGACAGGGTGGTTAGTGCAAAGCTTTGTGAAATTGGCTGGTTGAATATGAAGGAAAGGAGAATTCTTCACAGTTTGGTCTTGTATAATAAAGTAATCCTAAAAAAATGTCCCATTTATTTGTACCAGAAAATTAAATTCAGACACGATGCACATAATCTGGATTTACGCCATAAATGCATAATAACTCCGCCCGCTCACACTACTGCTCTATTTGAAAGATCGTTCAGTTATCAAGTTTCTTTGTATTATAACCAAGTTCCAATGGAGCTTAAACTCCTACCTCATCCAAGATTCAAGAGAGCAATTTTGAAAATTTTGCCACAAATAATTATGTAATAATTTTCATCAGTATGCTGATAAATGCGGCCTCATCCTCATCCCTGCGTTAACCTTTGTTTTTGTTTTTGTTTTTCTATTGTATTTCTGTTTTTTATTTTTTTATTTTTTTTGTTTGTTAACAATTATTATTGTATACTGAAATTTGGGTTAAATTTAAGAGATTTTTCTTCTTTCAATTGTATTATGATTGAGAGAATAAAGAAATTTTTCTTTTTTCATTAATGTTCATTTTGAATTAAGGTTCTTCTTTAAATAAATGTCTACCTATATGTAAAAATTTATATTTAAATTACCTTTATTGTAAAACACAATGTTATGTTAGCTAAATTTAATGTAGGTTAAGTAAGGCAGCTTAGCTTCAACTTCGCCTTTTTGTAAAGACTCGTAATTTACAAATAAAGACATTATTATTATTATTATTATTAAAGAAGATGCCTTGAAAGGTTGTAATGGCCTCGACATACATCACTTACTCCAGCCTGAGACTGGATTACGTGTGAACGTAGAGCGAGCCTTCGACCTAGTATGCCCTAATGATCTAATACACAAAATGATTGAAGCTGGATACTAAGGTACGTGACACACTGGTATTCAGTTTCAATTAAGATCGGTCGAAAACGCTCAAGAGCAGAAAACTATAGTAGCAGGAGTTGCCCTCTATGAAAACGATTGTTCCATACCTCATCTACCAATGAAGGTCAAAACTGATGCACATATCATATCCGAAAAAAGACGATCCAAGCCAAGTTACCTAATACTAACATGGATATCGAAGAAGAGGATATACCATAGATCAACAGAATTCAATTACACAGGTCACGTCGCGGGCGGACGCTTGGAAGAGTCATATTGCAGGAGCACGTTTTTACAGGAACAGGAAAAAATAAAGGCTCTAAGAATCCAAAAATAAACTAGAAATAGACCTTGAGTGAAAATCGTATTTTAGCTGATCAAAATTATAAGTGAATTTGGAAATCATTAGCAAGGGTTTAGAAGAAACTTCTAAAAAAGAAAGGTAAAAATAACTGAAAATGAGGATCCATCAGATCCAGGGTGCACACACCAACTAAAAACAGTCAAACTACAAAAAAATTGTGTATTACCATAAAAATGAGAACTTCTACAATTAAAAAAAGAAGTGTCTCTATAAAATACCAAACCAAACGCAACAACTGGAAAATCTGTGTAGCCGATTCGATTCAGATTATCAAACTTTCGCATCCCAATCGCAAATTTGATGGAAAATGCAAAGCAGAAATACTGGGAAATTTTTATTCGATAAAACAGTTTCATTTGTCCAGAAATGAATAAAACAAAATTAACAGCTTTTCCAACGAAAATTATTTTTAGTGAATTTTTCTTTTCCGGGCTATAAAAATTACTTACCAAAAACTTTCAAATTAATCATGTGACTATAAATCTCGGTTTCATTGCCTCTGTCGTTTCTTAAAACGCACGTGTAGTTGCCCGAATCGTCATCTTTGATATTTTGAGTGTAAATCGTTTGGTTGGCACTTTCTGGGAAAATAATTAGCGTGGATAGGTCCAGACCCCACGGATACGGTTGACCATCTTTGAACCTGAAAAAAATAAAACAATCAGAATTTTAAGGTGCATTTATATATGCCTAATTTTCTTCACGGTTCTGGTGCACTATAAGTACCTCAAAACTAGACATTTTACAGTTGTGGAAACAAGATATTTTAGTTGTGAAATAAGAAAAAGTGAGGATGAACACTAAAAAAAAATTTTTTCAAAAAAAAAACTACTCAAAAGTTGGAAATTTAGTGCCACACTCATTGAGGCTTGATAAGACACATAATTCGTTTGAGTAGAGAATTATTCAACAATTTCTTGAATAAAAATTTCGAATAATGCACTTTTTTCAAAAAAATGGGACTTTTAAGTTTGTACTATTTTTCGTTGCGCCTGTTAAGATACGGGATACGCACGGTTTTTGAAGCAAATGGACCTGGGTTCGATTCTCGTTGGAGGCAATACATTTTTTTTTGGTAATTGTTTAGTGAAGGTTTTTCACAAAAATATCATGTTTTTTCTTTATAGACAGTTAAGTTTTATCTCAAAATAGTTCACGGGGACTAGCACGCAGTACAAAGACGGGTTAATTTGCATGTTCTAGATCAGTTTCAATACAGCACAGTAGTTACTGTCGGTTAGAGTGTACAAATTTCAATAGTTCAATAGGTATTATACGCTTTATCCTCGGCTTTATCATTACTCAATAATGTTTTTTTTTTCGAAAAATGGTTTGAACACTTAGATCTTCTTTCAGTTCGAATATCAACCACATGATACTCTTTATGTTTATTGAATTTTTATCTGCTAACCAGAGCGATTGTCATATTAGGCTGATAACAATAGATATTATATATTGATCTGTGTCAAAGGTCGAGAAGAGGATTCACTCAATATTTATAAAATCCAATTTATACCTAGCTATTTGCGCCAACATTTTTGATCATAAAATAATAATTTGGGATCAAACTATAAAGAAGAAGCATTATATTTGTGTGGAGGACCTTTACTAAACTGTTACCTTTTTTTAAAGTTTTTCTTTTTTCTTAGGGTTTTTGCTTCCTAAAAGATTATTAAGAGGACGGGTTAGTTTCAGTTAGTTTGGATTTGCTCTGTTTCGTTTAAAATGCCAACATACTAGCACGTGCCCAGCTGTTTGGTTTGGTTTGGGTTAGTTAGTTTTCAACTAAAAAAAGTACATGATCCTCAGATTTTGGGCTTTTAAACTATACTATACACCACTCCTCACTTTTTGAATTTTGAAATTTTTGCAAATATCGAGGTACTTATAGTGCACCAGCCCCTTCTTCACAAAAAAGGAAACGAAGTCACGCAAATACAAAAGTGATATTTTGACAAATATATCCTGAATGCTTTAGAAACAATTTAGTGACATTAGTGTATAAGCTCGTCTCTCAGGCGTTAATAATTTTGCAGTATGTTTATTTGTTTTTTTGGCAGCGGCGTATCAAGCGCCAGCTATAAACTTTACTTGATGGAAGTATATTTTTTAGGATTTACTTCAATCTTAGTAGAAATATATCTAAATAATAAATTTAATGAAAGTGTTTGGTTTGAAATATCAGCATTTTCCAAATTTAGGCAGACACCCTGTGGCGCCTGTGGAGGGATGGAAATTGGGGATTTGATAGATCATTTATTGGACAATAATTATTAGAGACTTATTGAAATTTGACACACAACTTGCAAATGTGCAAGGTATTTTTTAGAACAGAGATTTTTTTTTCGCCATTATAGCTAATACCTAAAACATCCCTTAGTTATTTTCTTTTTGAACAAATCTAATAATTTTCAATATTCTTCGCAGATAAATTATTAAACGCCACCGCACTGTTTTCTCATCACTCAACTAACCTTGCCCAATTCTTGGATATATAACGACTGTGTTCGTCACTGCCAAGCGATTCCGTGAATCCGATAATTATTGCAGCACAAATAAAAAACCAATAATTAAGTATTTTCCCAGTATTCCGTTAGAGCTCGAATTATTACTTTTGCAACAATAATTGAATATCGAAGCTTATCGTGTTTTGTATTTATTCCCTCGATTACGTTTTCGTTTCGTACCAAAATATTAATAAAAAAGTTGCTATATTTAATTATATGCAAGTTTATTTTATATCATGTTATAACACATAAAATTCATAAGGATGAAATTGAACAATAAAATGAAACATAATGATAATGCTCTCACGTCTTAGGTCACGTATTGTATTATGTACTTTTCTTATTTGCGTGACTTGATAGGCGTCTCAACTCAACTCATGTTAGTTTGATTGAAATCTGAACCAAAATATTTTTTGCTTTTATAAATTTAATTAAATATTAGAATTTCATGGAAACGCTTGTGTCGAATTTCATGGTATGTATTTGTATTTCATGTTTGTGTCCCAGGGTAAGACAGCTCAATATATTATATGTATAGATTCCAAGTAGCACAACTATACTAACGTTACACTATACGAATAATTTTCGAAACGAAATGAGACAAAAAATGGTCGCATCATTATTATGTGTTAAATAATGCAGTGAAAAAAATCTACTTTGGATAGGGGTTGTAGGTATGTATTATGTGCTCCACCATTTTGGATCTGACCCTCAAATTCAGTTTTCTTGGCTCAAGTGATTCTTCCATTTCTAGATATTCAACCTGCTTCCATGTGCATTTAATTATTCTACCATCCCTTTAGGGGAGACATGATTGTTGTTTTTCTCGAGTGCAAAGAAAGAAAGTCCTACTCTCACTATCAGTTCTGCTAAGATCACTTGAGGTTGTTCTTTAAAAATTGCCCATATCTCTACCTAATCAAAGGCTTTGCTGTTGTCGATGAAAGCTATGGGTGAAATTCATGTAGGACGATGTATTCCGAGTCTGCTGCAATCTCTCCGGAAACAAGCTTGTTTCGGTGGTGGATACCGATACTCCTCGAATTTAGGCATTAGCCTATGGGTGATGATCTTGGTAAGCAGTTCATAGAGGAGTGACAAGAGAGTTGGGAAGTTATTGTCATTGTCTTCTTACATACATTTTTCGGGTACTTGGCTTTTATGGAGATATTAATTCATAGGAATTTTGATGGCTTTTGTAGTAGTTTTTCCTCCTAACTTAATTTCAATCAGTTGCCACCATTTCTAAATTTTAGTTCCTGATCTCTTCCCTTATATTATCCTATTTATCTCTCCGTTTTCAGATATTCCCTCAATCATATTTCTACGTTCACCCATTATTTTTTTATTTCCACAGCTTACTGTATTTTTCATGTGATTTTTCCTTGTATAACATACCTTTCTTGCAGCTGATTTAATATTAGACATTATTTCCTTCCCAGTTGTCAATGTTTAGTGTCCTCTAATAACACTCAGAAGGAGGCATTATCCATGCATAAATTCATGAAATAAGGTCTTCCAAGTCTCTTCATCCAACCTGTCTCCTAACAATTTAAATATTTTCTTTTGCTTCAAAGATGGAGGTCTTTCGTCCCAGCTCGACTCTAGGTCGAATCCCTTAGACTATTTAACAGACAAGAATGTCTCAAATTCCTTCTTCTTGGCACCAGTCGATGTTTCTGGGATCAAGGAAACCCTTATAACCTTCAAAAACAAAACTTCCTCAGGCTATGATGACATATCCAATAAAACTCCATCCTAACGAACTGCGTACGTTTTCATGCGCTTGGAGATGCCATAAATGAGTCCTTTGACAAGGGTATATAATATGCTAATATCCTTAAGCATGCAGTGTTTGTACCTCTTCACAAAGGGGAAGACTCAGACTCTTCAGCTAATTTCCATCCTATTTTTCTTTTTCCTTCACTTGGTAAACTGATTGAGAAACTGGTTAAAATTAGAGTTCTTTCATTCCTCAATTTAAACAGAACCCTTTTCGATAATCAATAATTTGGCTTCCAGAGTGGCAAAGGAACATCTGATGCGATATTCTTCCTCCTGGAAAATATCTATTAGAGAGTAAAATTGAGAAATACCTTTCAGCAGAGGAGTTTTCTGACTTGCCGACTGTGTCGATTATTTTGTCTTGTCGTACCTAAGTGATCGTCAACAGGTAGTTTCATATAGGGGCGGGTATTCGGAGAAAATGAGCAACAGCTGCGGTTTGCCTCAGAGCTTTATCCTTGGCCCCGGTTTGTTTTTGATATATTTGACAAGTTCTATGAGATACTACTAGAGGCATTTACCGCAAACTACAAACCAAAAACCAGAACGACGAGGACCACTGAGAAGAAGATATGGATAACAAAAGGGGTTCCGATATCAGCGAAAAACAAAAGATGCCTTAATAACCTTTGCAAGTTCTATACTAGCAACGACGATCTGAAAGAGTACTATAAAAAGTATAAGAATATATTTAGGCAAATTGTCAAGAAGGCAAAAAGTCTATATTACCTTAATAGGATAACACATGCAAGATCGTCAACAAGAGAAACATGGAAAATCGTTAATGAGATCAAAGGTCGCGTCAACAAGAAAAAACTGCTTCTAAAAGTGATTCTAAACCAGTGGCTTTTTTTCAGTCACGACCGAGGTCACGACCCTTTTACAGTTTGCTCATAAGGTCGCGACCCCCCTACCATTAATAAATAAAAAACAAAATTTGATTTATTCAAGAAATTTTTAACAAAAATATTAATATTTCGTAACTAAATACAAAAAGTCAATTTTTATTTTGTTAATGTGACGACTGAGCTTGCATCACCGTAACAAGTTTTGAAATTCTTGGTTGAGTTTTTGTTAAAGCCAATCTTATGTCATCTTGAACGCCTAATCTATTTTTGGCCTTTGTTCTAATTTGCAAAAGAATTGAAAAACCAATTTCACGAAGGTAGGTAGAGACAAATGGTATCTATTAGTATCCGAAAAGAAACCACATGCAGGACGATATGGGGATATGAACTATGCATCGCACACCAAATTTCAGTCAAGAATTTTTCCTGAAATAGGCAGGTGCTGTGGAATCATTCCTCAGGTCTAAAAATGTATCCAGCACTTCATCAGAAACGTCGGCAAC